CACAAATCCCAATCTCCACAGATCCCAAATCCCAAACCCCACAGACCCCAAACCCCAAATCCCACAGACCCCAAACCCCACAGACCCCAGACCCCAAACCCCAGAGACCCCAAACCCCAGAGACCCCAAACCCCAGAGACCCCAGACCCCAAACCCAAACCCCACCTTGTAGTTGTCCCTGTCGGTGATTTTCCGGGACACCTGTTTGAGGGCGCTGGCCGTGGTCGCGTCCTCCACGTAGAACTGGGCCCGGTTGTGGTCGTAGTGGAACTGCCACGGCACCCGGGGGGGGGTTTGAGCTCCCAAATCCCCCAAAATCCCCCCAAAAATCCTCCAAAATCACCCCAAAATTCCCTCAAAATCCCCCGGTGGTTTGGGGCTGGGACGGGGTCCCAAATCCCCCAAAATCCAACCCAAAAATCTCCCAAAATCACTCCGAAATTCCCTCAAAATCCCCTCAAGATTTGGGGCTGGGACAGGGTCCCAAATCCCCCAAAATCCCCTCAGGATCTGGGGCTGGAATGAAGCCAAAACCCCAAATGACCCAAAATCCCCCTAAAATCCCCCAAAATCCCCTCGGGATTCAGGGCTGGAATGGAGCCAAGACTCCAAATCCCCCAAAATTCCCCCAAAATCCCCTCAGGATCGGGGCTGGAACAGGCCTGGAATCCTAAATGTCCCAAAATCACCCCAAAATCCCCTCAAGATTTGGGGCTGGGACGGGGTCCCAAATCCCCCAAAATCCTCTTGGGATCTGGGGCTGGAACAGGGCCAGGATCCCAAAACACCCCGAAATTCCCGAAAGCGCCCCAAAAACGGCGCTGACCTCGACGGGGGTGAAGGGGACGCTGCAGAGGTTCTGGATGGAGCTGAGCAGCCAGGACTTGTCGTACTTCTTCCCGTACGGGATCTGGGCCGGCGGGACAGGAACGGGAACGGGAAAAGGGGAATGGGAATGGGAAATGGGGAATGGGGAATGGGAATGCAGGAAAAGGGGAGGGAGACAAAGAGGGAATGAGAGCCGAGCTCAAACTCCCCAATCCCAAACTCAATCTCAAACCCAATCCCACCCCACTTTATTCCCACCCCATCCCTTCCTGATCCCACCCCAATCCCACCCTACTCCCACCCCATTCCCACTCTCCATTCTCAATCCCCATTCCCTATCCCACTGCGATACTGTTCCCATTTTCCTGTCCCCATTCCCATTTTCCCATCCCCGTTCCTGTTTTCCCATTCCTGTCCCCATTTTCCCATCCTCATTCCCATTTTCCCATTCCCATTCTCCCATTCCCATCCCCAATCCCGTCCCCATTTCCCGTTCCCGTCTCCGCGTTCCCATTCCCATTTTCTCTTTCCCATTTTCCCATTCCTGTCCCCATTCCCATTCCCCCATCTCCATCCCCTTTCCCATTCCCATTCCCATTCCCTGTCCCGCCCCGTTCCCACTCCCCATTCCCATTTCCATTTTCCCATTCCCATTCCCCGTTCCCATTCCCCATTCCCATTTCCATTTCCCGTCCCGGTGTTCCCGTCCCCATTCTCCATTCCCATTTCTCATCCCTGTGTTCCCGTTCCCATTTCCCGTCCCCGTGTTCCCGTTCCTGTTCCCATTCCCCGTTCCCATTTCCCGTCCCCGTGTTCCCGTTTCTGTTCCCATTCCCCGTTCCTGTTTCCCGTCCCCGTGTTCCCGTTCCCATTTTCCCATTCCCATTCCCGTTCCCACTTCCCGTCCCCGTGTTCCCGTTCCCATTTTCCCATTCCCATTCCCCGTCCCCGTGTTCCCGTTCCCATTTCCTGTCCCCGTTCCCATTCCCCGTCCCCGTGTTCCCGTCCCCGTGTCCCCGTTCCCGTACGGTGATTTTGAACCAGCTCCTCCTGCCGCCGTCGCGGCCGGTGCCGCCGCCGCGCTCGCCGGGCTCGCGCTTCACCGTGATGTTGATGTTGGCCAGGCGGCCGGAGCGCGGCGCGTACGGCACGCTGCCGGTGGGACACGGCAACGGTCAGGGGGACACCGGGAAAACCGGGAAAAACCCCGGGAATAACCTCGGGAATGGGCCCGGTCAGAGGGGGACACCAGGATAAACCGGGGATAAACCGGGAAAAACCCCGGGAATAACCCCGGGAATGGGCCCGGTCAGAGGGGACACTGGGAAACACCGGGAAAACCGGGAAAAACCCCGGGAATAACCCCGGGAATGGGACCGGTCAGAGGGGGACATCGGGATAAACTGGGAAAAACCCCGGGAAAAACCAGGAATAACCCCGGGAATAACCCCAGGAAAAACCCTGGGAATAACCGGGAAAAAAACGCGGGAAAAATCCCAGGAATGGGGTCGGTCAGAGGGGTAAACCAGGAATAACCGGGAATAAACCGGGAATAACCCCGGGAATAACAGGGAATAAACCCAGGAATAACCCCGGGAATAAACCCAGGAATAACCCTGGGAATAACCCCGGGAGTGCCTGGAATCACCGGGAATCACCCGCGAAACCACCGGGATCAGCCAAGAACCGCTGCCGGGAGCCCCCGGTGACCCCGGTACCCTCCCGGTGCCCGCCCGGTGCCCGGTGCCCCTCCCGGTGCCCGGCACTCACTACCGCCCGCGGGGCCCGTCGTGCGGCTCGGCCATGGCGACGTCGCCGTCGTCGTCGTCGGGGCGGGCGCGGCCCCGGGGGCGGCCCCGGGGGCTCCCCTCGCTGTACATCTTCCCCCGGAACGGCCCCCGGCCCTTCCGCCGCCGGCCCGGGAACGCCCGGCCGCCCACGCGGTCATCGTGCTCTGGGGGGACGGGACGGGAACGGGGATGGCACCGGGAACGGGGAGAGGAACGGGGATGGGAACGGGGATGGGAAAGGGAACGGCGAGACGGGAACGGGGATGACACCGGGAACGGGAAGGGGAACGGGGATGGGGAGGGAACGGCGAGACGGGAACGGGGATGGCACCGGGAACGGGAACGGTACCGGGAACGGAGATGGCACCGGGAACGGGAATGGAACGGGGATGGGGAGGGAACGGCGGGACGGGAACGGAGATGGCACCGGGAACGGGAACGGGGATGGGGAGGGAACGGCGGGACGGGAACGGGGATGGCACCGGGAACGGTACCGGGAACGGGGAGGGGAACGGGGATGGCACCGGGAACGGGAATGGGAACGGGAACAGCGGGATGGAAGCGGGAACGGCACCGGGAGAGAGACCGGGGACGGGAACGGGGGTGTGAACGGGAATAGGAACGGGGATGGGAACGAGCAACAGTCACGGCACCGGGAACGGGGATGGGGAGCGGCACCGGAGAGACGAATGGCACCAGGAGCGGGAACGGGACCGGGGATGGGGATGAGAACAGGGATGAGAACGGGAACCGGGCACGGCACCGGGACCGGCGGTGGGAATGGGATGAGGGACGGGAACGGGGATGGGAATGGCACCGGGAACGGCGCCGCTTTTCCCCGGCTCGCCCTCTCCGGCTCCAGCCCCCCGGTACACCGGGAGCGGCCCCGGGCCCTGCCCCGTTCCAGGACCCGCTCCCCGTCCCGGCTCTGTCCCGGCGCGGCTCCCTCCCCGCCGGGAGCACCGGGAGCGGCCCGGTCCGGCCCCGGAGCCGCACACCGGGCACCGCCGCCGGCCGGGGACGCCGCTCCCGGCCCGGTGCTCCCTCCCCTCTCCCGGTTCCCCCGGCACCGTCACCGACCCCGGGACCGAGAGCCCCGCGCCGCTCCCCGGGGTCTGTCCCCTCCCTGTGCCGTTCCCCGTTCCCGTTCCCCCCTCCCGCTATTGTACCCGGTTCCCGGTCCCCCCTCCCGGTACCCGGTGCCCCCTCCGCCCATCCCGGGCCTACCGCCATCCCCCGGGCCTGCCCTACCGGGCTCCCTCCCCGTTCCCGCCGCGGCCCGGGGCTGTCCCGGGAGCCCTCCCCGCGTGCCCCGCGCCGTCCCCCGGCGCTGCCCCGCTGTCCCCGGCGCCCCCGGGCCGCTCACCGCTGTACCCGCCCCCCTTCCCCTCCTCCGCCATCGCCGCCGCCGCGGCCTCCCCGCCGCGCGTCCCGCTGACGTCACTTCCGCCCGCCGCTCCCCGCGCACGCGCCGTGCCCGCGGCCGCCCCCCCCCCACCGCCCCCCCCCAGGGCCGCGGGTTCGAATCCCGGCCCGGGAGGAAAAAAACCACCAGGAGGAATCTGGGGGGGCCAGGGTTTATTGGGGGGTCCCGGGGGGGCTGCAGCCGCCCCAAAGGCTCCCCAAGAGGTCCGGGGCAGCCCCCAGACCCCTCCCTGGCGATCCCAAGGCTTTACCGGGTGGGGGGGGGGGGCTCCTATTCCCACGGGGGCTCTGCAGCCCCCCCCCCCCGGTAATTTAATGGGGTCCCCAGGCCCCTTTTGGGGGTCGGCAGCCCTCCCAGAGGGACCCCAAGCGCTCCCATGGGGTCCCAAGGCTTTGACCTGAGGGGGTCCCACCACAGCCCCCCCCCCAGATTTGTGAGGAGCTCCACCCCCCCCCTACTTTTGGGGGTCCCGGGGCTCCCATGGGGGTCTTGCACCCCCCACCTGGGGGGTCTGTGGGGTTCACAGATTCCCCCAACCCCGGGGGTCTCACAGCTTCCATCGCTTGGGGGTCCTGCAGCCCCCTCAGAGATCCCCCCCGGATCTCCCGGGGTCCCCCCAAACCCCTTTTTGGGGGTCCTCGGCTCTGTGGGGGTCCCCAGCCCATTTTGGGGGTGCCGTGGTCCTTGGGGAGGGGTCCCAGAGCAGTGCCAGGATCCCCAACCCCCACCTGGGAGGGGAAAGGGGGGTCCTGGGGGGTTTTGGGGGCACTGGGGGGGTTTTGGGGGACCCCGGGGGAATTTTCGGGGGACTCGGGGGGGGGTTTTGGGGGTCCTGGAGGAGTTTTGGGAGGTCCTGGGAGGGTCCCAGGAGGGTGTTGGCAACTCCCGGGAGTTTTGGGGGTCCGGGGGGTGTTTTTGGGAGATCCTGGGGGGTTTTTTGGGGGGATCCCGGGGGGGTTTTGGGGTCCCCCAGCCCCGTGTCCGTGTGCAGCCCCGCGGGGCCGAGTCCGAGCGGGAATTTGGGGGAAACGCCGCGGGGTCAGGCCAGGAAGACGACGAAGATGATGAAGAAGAGGAGGAGCAGGAGGAAGACCTTGAGCAGCAGCCAGCGGTTGGCCGAGACCGACTGGAAATATTTGAGGATTTCCCCGTGGGCGGCCTCCACGTTCAGCTGCGCGTCCTCCACGCTCGAGTCGATCCTGGGCACGGCGGGGCAGAATTGGGGGGAAATCGGGGGAAAAAGGACAGGGAAATGGGGGGAAAATCACAGGGAAATGGGGGGAAATCACAGGGAAATGGGGGGAAAAGTACAGGGAAATTGGGGAAAATCACAGGGAAATTATGGGGAAAATGACAAAAAAAATTGGGGAAATCACAGGGAAATTGGGGGTAAATTAAAAGGGATATTGAGGAGAATTGGGTGGAAAAATTAGAGGAAAATTGAGGGATTCGGGGGGAAATTGGGGGAAAACTTCAGGGAAATTGGGGGGAAATCACAGGGAAATTAATGGGATATTGAGAGGGAAATTTGGGGGCTCAGAGAGATGAATTTGGGGGCTCAGGGAAGGGAATTTGGAGGACTCAAAGTGGGAATTTTGGGGGTTCAGGGAAAGGAATTTTGGGGTTCAGGGAGGGGAATTTGGGGGAACTCAGGGAGGGGAATCTGGAGGACTCAAAGAGGGAAATTTGGGCTTTCAGGGACGGAATTTTGGGGATTTTTCACCTCTGGATGGTCTCCTCCTGCTCCTTGACCATGTGTGCGAGCTGCTGGAAGATGGAGCCCAGCTCCACGATGGTGGACTCGATGCTGTGCATGGTGTCGGCGCGGCTCTGGATGTACGAGTCCTGCGGGAGGGGAGGCTGCGGGGCTGCCCCAAAATCCCAAAATCCCCCAAATCCCCTTCTCCCGGCTTTTCCTGGGGCTCCAAACCTGCTCATCCAGCAGCTGCAGCTGCTGGCTCGTCCTGCCGTCCATCTCGATGGCCACGGCCCCCGGGCGCTGCGGCTCGGGCTGGAGCACGGCCGGGCTGCCTGCGGAGCGGCGCCGAAACCCGCTTTTATCTCCCAAATTCCATCTGAATTCCAAAAAATCCCCATCTCCCACCCGGAATTCCATAGAAATCCCAATCTCCCACCCAGAGATCTGCTTTTATCGCCCAAATTCCAGTCGGAATTCCAAAAAATCCCCATCTCCCACCCGGAATTCTGCTTTTATCTCCCAAATTCCATCTGAATTCCAAAAAATCCCCATCTCCCACCCAGAATTCCACTTTTATCACCCAAATTCCATCTGAATTCCAAAAATCCCCATCTCCCACCCGGAACTCCATAGAAATCCCCATCTCCCACCTAGAATTCTGCTTTTATCTCCCAAATTCCAGTCAGAATTCCAAAAAATCCCCATCTCCCACCCGGAATTCCACTTTTATCACCCAAATTCTAGTCTGAATTCCATAAAATCCCCATCTCCCACCCGGAATTCCATAGAAATCTCATCTCCCACCCAGAGTTCTCCTTTTATCTCCCAAATTCCAGTCGGAATTCCAAAAAATCCCCATCTCCCACCCGGAATTCCATAGAAATCCCCATCTCCCACCTAGAATTCTGCTTTTATCACCCAAATTCCCTCTGAATTCCATAAAATTCCCATCTCCCACCCAGAATTCCCCTTTTATCACCTGTAATTCCCCCAAAATTCCACAAAATTCCCATTTCCCACCCAGAACCCCCCCCAAAATTCCCTTTCCCCCCCGGAATTCCCAGGAATTCCCGGCTCACCGAGGTTGTTGGCGGCCAGGGCGGAGACGGGGGCGCGGGAGAAATGTTCCCGACGGCTGCGCTGCTGCTTCAGGTTCTGGGGCAAAACCAGGGGAAAATGGGGAAGAAAGTGAGGGAAAATGGGGAAAAAGGTGGGAGAAAATGGGGGGGAAATGTGGAGAAAATGGGGGGAAAAATGAGGGGGAGAAAGAGCAAAGAAAGGGGGAAAATATGGGGAGAGAAGAGAAAAATGGGGAGAAATTGGGAAAATGTGGAATAAGGAGAAGAACAGAATTGGAGAAAGAGAAGAAAAAGTGAGAAAGCAGCAGAAAAGTGAAAAAAAGAAAAGTGAAGGAAAAGGAAAAATCAGGAGCAGAAAAAAGCGGGAAAAGGATAAAAAATTGTAACAACAAGAACAAGAAAAAAAATGAGAAATGAGCAAAAAGGTAAAAATGGGAAAAGAGAAAGGAGAAAAAAGGAAGAGGAAAAGGAAAAAAGAGGGAAAGGAAAAAAGAGGGAAAGGAAAAAAGAGGGAAAGGAAAAAAGAGGGAAAGGAAAAAAGAGGGAAAGGAAAAGCTGCAGCAGCCCCGCTCACCTCTGTCCGCACCTCCAGCACCGATTTGAAGTCGTTGGACATCGAGGCCAGTTTGGACTGGGGAGGGAGGGTGGGGGGTCACTGGGGGGTCCCTGAGCTCCCAAAACCCCCCAAAAAATCCCCCAAACACCCTCCAAAGCCGCCCCAAAAAATCCCCCAAAAAACCCCCAAAACCTCCCAAAGGCCCCCCAAAAACACCCCAAAAACCCCCAAAACCCACCCAAAACCCCCATACCTCCCCAAAAAACCCCAAAACCCGCCAAAACTCCTCTAAAACCCTCAAAAGTCCTAAAACCCCCCCCAAAACCCCAAAACCTCCCAAAACCCCCCCCAAAGAAAACCCCAAAATCCAAAACCACCCCCAAAAAAACCCCCAAAAACCCATAGGAACCCCCTAAAAAACCCACCCAAAAATCCCCCAAACCCCCCCAAGAGTCCGAAAATCCCCCCAAAATCCCCCGAAGCCCCCGGCCCACCTGCAGGGAGAGCAGGACGCCGCTGGAGTGGCTCTGCAGGTGCCGCCCGCCGGGGCCGCGCCGCGCCCGCAGCAGCTCCTGCAGCGCCGCGATCTGCGCGTTCAGGCTGCCCATGTCCTGGGGGGCACGGGGGTCAGGGGCACCCCGAAACCCCCCCACAAAAACCCCCCAAAACCCCCCGACCCCCACCCGCACCTGTTTGATGATGTAGGTCAGCTCCTCGATCTCCACGGATTTGTCGTCGAACAGCGACTTGCGCTTGGCCACTGCGGGGGGGTCAGCGGG